AAAAAAAAAAAAAAAGAGAGAAAACAAAGCCCTTCAGAAACCTCAGAGGAAGTCAGAACCAATCTGTGAAAGGTTATTGGTGTCCAGGGTTCCAGAGTTTGGAGGGAGGAATAGAGAAGTCTAGGAAAAATACATTTGGAAGAAATATAATGTTTGATAATTTATGTCCTGTTAGATTGTGGAGTGGGCCTGGTGATTAGCATTTACTGTGTTTTGAAAAGAGACATCTGCATTTCAGCACGAGGATTCCAGAGCAGGTGGTATCTGAGCTGTGCTTTAATGAGAAGAAAGGGAGCCAGGTGTGGGGGTGTAGGCCTGTAATCCCAGCACTCTGGGAGGCTGAGGAGAGAGGACCACAGGTTTGGGCCCAGCCTGGTCAGTGTAGCCACTTACTGAGACCCTACCTCAATCAATCAATCAATCAATCAATCAATCAATCAATCCAAAATAAACTAAAATTAAAAAAGGCTGAGGATGTAGCTCTGTGTAAGCAGTCTGCATTCAATTCCCAGTTCAAGATGGAGAGAGAGAACAGGCAGAGGCGTAAATACAGGAGGACTGGCAGTTTCTGTAGCCAGTGTTCTGGAGCCTCTGGCGTTTGGCCTGAGGCACCCTTCAAGTTACTTTAAGTCTTGGAGTCCCAGTTTCCATTATTACAAGATGAAGGTAATAATAGTGTTTTCTCTATCCTAAGATCCATGGCTCCCACCCCACTCAATTTTTTGGAGGAGTGATACTGGGACCTGAACCCAGGGGCACTCTACCACTGAGCTACATCCCCCACCCTTTATTTCTAGTTTGAGATGGGGCTTGCCAAATTGCTCAGGCTTCTTTAGCCCGCCGCAGCCTCAATTATCCAGCATAGCTGGTATTACAGGTGTGAACCACCTCGCCCATCTTAATGTTTCAAAGTACTGGCTTTATCCCAGGTCAAAGAAGAAAAATGTTGACAGTATTATGACTATCTGGATATATGTAAATTTAGCCACCCACAGGAATAAAAAAAGGTGTTTATTTGACAGTTTAGAAATAGCCAACTTGTATGGAAATTGAAGTCATGCAGCTGGAGGAGGTTAGCCATTGGATGGATCTGACTACAGCAAACGTTAAACAATCCACGGTTTGTAGCTATCAAGAGAAGCCTAGAGACTGCAGGGATATGAAATCCAATTAGAAAAAGAAACAAAGTTTATGACCAAAGGAGAGACATATACAATGCATGTGTATATTAGAAATGTTTCAATATTATACTGCTACTTTGTAAAGGTGCTTTTAAAGAGATGAAGATATAACCATAGGCTATGAAAAACAGCATGCTGTCATGCTATCTTTAGGCACATGGTCAAAGGTTATATTAAGATTTTAGAGTTAGTGAAGGAGAGAGGGCTTACATTTCACTTTTGATTATGGCCCTGAGGTAGCAAATAGTGCAATTATAATACCCAACACTTACTGAATGATTACTGTGTAGTATTGCATCAACTGGACAATTTTATGAGATCAGTGATTGTATCTTCATTTTATTTATTTTTTAAATTAATTTTTTTCTTTGTATTTTAGGGAAGGGTCTACAGGGTGTTCAGGGTCTCACTACTAGATTCGAGTCATAGTGATTCTCCCGTTTACAGCCTCCCGAGTGCTGGGATTACTGGCATGTACCACCACGGCCCCAGTCTCATTCGCCTTCTCAGCGTGCCCCCGGGGGCCGGGCTGGCACTGCAGGCCCTGGGATCCCGACTACTGCACCTGCTTGCAGGCGCTTTAATCCCCTGAGCTATTTGGCCTGCCCTCTCTATCTTCATTTTAAAGTGAGAAAGCTAAGAAGTAAATTCAGGAATTTAGCTTCCAGATTCTCACTCAAAGACATTGTAACTGTTCAAACACTCTGATTATGGACACACCTATGCTTTTAAGTTTGGTTTTAGACAGGGGTGTGATGGCCCTGTAATCCTGGTACTCTGAGAGGCTGAGGCAGGAGGAACACAACCTGGGCAACTTACGTGACTTATGAAGACCTTGTCTCAAAAAAAGTTTTAAAAGTAGTCATTATACATTTCCCAATCTATGTCATCTTAAAATCAAGATGGTAAATATGGTAAATATCTGCCTTGTATGATTAATGAGGGGTTCGGGTGTGAGCATCTTTTTGTTTTTGAGAATTCATTATGTAGCTCAGGCTGGCCTCAAACTCAGCGGTTCTCTTGCCGCAACCTTCACAGTCGCGGTGATGTGGGCCACCATGCCTGGCAGGTGATACATAACGTATATCTGAAAACCTGTGTTTGAGAGGGGCAGTTGTTGCGAAGTGGTCTTCACAATCCCACCAACGTGGAATGAGCAAACACTGCTGGGAGCAGTGAGTGAGAGACGACTCCTGCGGTTGCCGACAGCAGTTAAACACCCTGCCTCTCACTCCTGATCTGTATGTGTCCTCATCTTTCTATGCTCCTCTCAAACTCCAGCCCTTTTAGGGCTGTAGGTGGGAGCAATTTAGGAAGCCATGCACTCAACCAGTGAAAGATGGACTGTATCAGTAAAGTGGCTCTATTTTGTTTCCTGGCCTCCGTTTTTGTAAACTGAACGGAAGCTGCGCCTTCGCTCTTTCTTCCACTTCTAATTCTGCCACTGTCCCCTAGACCTTTTCATCCATGCCGCTTTAAGGAGGAAGCTCCGCCCCCAGACCCGCAGGAGGCGGCCCCTCCGCGCGGGTAGGCCGGTAGGGCGGGGTCTCCGCGGGAAGCTCCGCACGCGCACGTGACTTCCTTCCCCAGGAGTCTGCGCTGCCGGCCTCCCAGCAACCGGCGCGTCCCGCCTAACGACGCCCGCGCATCCCCGTTGGCGGCCGGGGGCGGTCGGTAGCAAGGAGGCGCCCACGGTTCCACTGTTCATTGGCTGGTGCTGTTGTCGCTCAGGCGCGTTTCCCAGCGCCTGCAGGCGGTGCTGCCGGAAGCCCCTCCCCCTGGCCGCCGGGTTCCTGGCTGGGTGGCGGCGGCTGTCACTCCCCGGCCGTTTTCCTTAGGTCTGTGCTCTGCTGGGGGCGGGAGCAAGAGGGGCCGGGTCTGGGGCCTGAGGAGGCGTCGCTGTCTTCGCGGCTGCTATGACCGGCGGGCGCTGCGCTCTCCACAGCTCGGTGCAGCGCTAGTCTCGGCCGAGCGCCCCTCCGGAAGCCGTCAGGGTCCCCAGCGCGGCCGGTCCTGCGGCCCCTCGGCTCTCCCGGCGCCGCCTGCGAGGCGAAGCGAGGCGAGGAAGGAGATGAAGATGACGGTGGATTTCGAGGAGTGTCTGAAGGACTCGCCCCGCTTCAGGTAGTCGGCCGGGGAAGGAAGGGAAGCTGGGGAGCCTAGGGCCGCGGTCCGCGCTTCCGTAGGGGCGGGCGCCGGGCTGCCGCCTCCCGCCAGGCCCCGCGCCCGGTTCCCCGCTCCTCGCCCGCCCGCCCGCCCGCCCGCCCGCCCGCGCGCGCTCGCGACCCTCGTCCTCTCGGTCGTGCGTCCTCGCCCCTTCCTCCTCGCGGCTTCCTCCCGGCCTTCCGCCTCGGCGTCCACCCGCCGCCCCCTCGAGGCGCTCTCCGCGCATCCTCCGGCCGTGCGCTTAGTTCCTCTTTGCGCCTTTCCGCAGTCCTCCGCGGGAGGAAGGGGCTGGCCGAGCCGGACGCCCCCTTCTGCTGCCCGCGTCCCCCCGCTGCAGGGCCGCGCAGGAAGGCGAGGGCCGGGGATCTGCGCCGCGCCTGGGGCCGGGCTCTTCGAGCAGCGCCTGCCTCCGACCCGGTCCCTGAGTTTTCTTTGCACTTGAGTTCTTGGAAGAGGCCGAGGCCGTGAGAAGTCCTGGGCGCTCGGGGATGAGGACTGCGAGAAACAGTGTGGGTCTGTTTTGAGAGCGGAAGTAGGAGGGCCCTGAGGATTGCATTTTGTGTTCCTTTTCCAGCAGCTTTGGCCCCGAAGGACCTTGGATCCCATTTGGACGCTCCCAAGGGATGTGTCATACAGGCTGAGAGTTGGCACCCCGACTCACATGGGCTGTCCTCTCTTACGTGGGACAGGCAGCAGTCGCGAGGGCGTCCACAGTATTTATGTGCGTTCCCCCTCAAGCATCGTTGGGAAATCTTGTTTTGAAGAATGGAGTTTCCTAGGTTGTGTTTTGAGGTTATTTACAGGGCTGACTTTTGGTCTTAACAAATCCGGCCCTAGTACTTCCGTTAGATACTGACATTTCGTGAAGGCTTTCTCTGAGCGTGTGTGTGTGTGTGTGTGTGCGTGTGCGTGTGTGTGCTCGCCCACTGATCCCTCTGCCAACCCTGGGTTGTGAATTCTTATATCCTCCGTTTGGGAACTAACTGTTCTTACTTGTATCACTGTTAACTTGATTCCCCCTCCCCCCCGCCCCAATTTTTGGTAAAAGGCAAGGGAAGGAAGTGTACAGTGAAGGAACCTCTTACTTCCCAAAAATACCTTTGATAGTTTGGAATTTAGGGCTGTTGCTTATTTAAAAAAGTGTACTTGGTTTAATTTCTGTCGTTGCCATTAGAGTTTGAAACTTCTGTTACATGTAAACTGGAGTACTCAGGCACTAGTGGGTTGTCTAGGACAGTCCTGCAGGTTTCCAAGGTCGGGCGGTAAATGAAATAATTTAAACAGGATATCTTAGAAAGTTCTGATTTTTGTGGAATTTTTATTCACGTTACTCAGCTTTTTATTTAGTTTGCAGTGCTGCCGGTCCAACCCAGAGCCTTACAAGTCCAAATTCGTTTTCAAATAAAATAATTACAGCTTTTTTTCTCTGTAGAGGGGACTTGGATAGCCTTTTGCACTCTTTGTTTCACATTATAAATTTGATTTTAAAAACAGGTTGAGAGAAGTAGTTTGGAAATACTTCTAGCTATTGGTGTTGGGGGCAAACCATGCTTTTTTTTTTTTTTTTTTTTTTTGAGGCTGGGTCTCACTTTGTAGTTCAGGCTGACCTTGAAGTCATTTTGTAGCCCATCCTGGCCTCAGTCTCCGTGATCTTCCTGCCTCAGCCTGTAATAATTGAATAAAGTAAGAGGGAAGATACTGATTAAGTTGTGTGGGTGGTATAGTGAAATTTTAACTGAAATATGTCTATTCAGTTATAATTATTAGTACTATTATTATTATACATTTGGTACAGGGTCTCACTACACAGCTCAGACTTGTAGTGATCTTCCTGTTTTCAGCCTCCCCAGCACTGGGATTATAAGTGTGTGCCACTAGGTCCGGTCTCTGTGGCCCTCTCAGAGCGCCTGGGGGTGGGGTCAGCGTGGCATGTGGTGCCAGGATCCAACCCCAGTCCCTGTGCTTGCCTAAGCAGACGCTTAGTCCACTGAGCTCTCTCGCTGGCCCCTATTCAGTTGTAATTTTTTTTTTTTTAGTTCATGTTCAGTTGTAATTAAAAAAGATTTTTTTGTTAAAGTTGTTTCCAGTATTCCAATTATTGTCAGCTGCAAACTGGGTTGATTCCAAGAACTTTGCATCTTATATACATTTTGGGAGTAGATCAGATTTACAGTAGCGGGAAGAATGCCAAGAAATGGAAGTTTCATTATTCACATTCCTTATATTTATAGGTTTTTTTTTGTAGCCCCATTACTCTGTAGATTTGTACACCATTTGCATAACATATCTCATAAGTTCATATTCACATAACACTATGTGTAGGAGAAACTTGATTTGAGACTAGTATATATATTTTTTAATTTTTTATTATTTATTTATTTATTTATTTATTTATTTTTTCAGTACTGGGGATTGAACTCAAGACCCTGTGCTTGCCAGGCAGACACTTATTCTACTGATCTATCTCCCTGGCCTGAGAGTAGTATATGATTGAGGAGTGATGCACTGAAACTAATGTCAGAACAGAAGTTTTGTGAGGACTGAGCTTTTTAAATTAATAGCAAGAAGCTGCACTTGTTGCATCTTGATCTATTGTGCTGTCTTGAACACTGATTCCTATTTTTATTTTCTTTCACAAATGAGTTTTGTAGCATTTAAATCTTTTATGTGGCTATCATAGAATTAATGCAAAGGATAGATCTTGATGAAGAAAAATTCTACCACAGTTTAAGTTTTAAAATACTCATTTTCCTGTTAAGTGGGTGAGGAAATCAGGACACTGATGGAAATAGGGAACCAATCTTGGAGTTGCAACATTGTCTTTAGTAATTTGTATAAATTCAGTTGGTGACTTTTATATTCCAGGGAGTGTTACTTTGTGTTTTGTTTTTGGTTCTAGGACACATTTCTTTGTGTAATTTTGGGTTTCCTTTTTAGTTTTTAAACACCAGTCTAAAGGTCAAAATCTTGTTCATCTAAAAACCTACAACAATGCAAATGTCTCCTAAGTGTTCTTCCCCCCCACCCCCGTGTGTGTGTGTGTGTGTGTGTGTGTGTGTTACATTTTTGACAGATATTTGTTGAAAGTTTGAATTTATTTGGGTACTAAGTTGTGTATAGTGACTCAGGAAGTGAATTTTATTTGAAGAAAAAATTGAATAAAATCTTTCTTAATCATGAAAGGTATTTGCCCTGAGCAGTATTGAAACATAAAGATATACATTTTAGTAAGCTTTCAAACACCTAATGTATGTATGTATAGGGGATTCAACCAACAGCCTTCACACTGAGCTACATCCCCTTGAACTCACTCTGTAGCCCAGGCTGGCCTCGAACTCACAGTGATCCTCCTATCCTGGCTGGGTTACAGATACGTATCACCACACCTGGGTTAATTTTCTGCTCCCTGAAAAGCTTTATAGTTAAGTTAAAAATTCAATCCTCTGTGTTTTTGATTCAAAGTACTTAAACTAGTAATATTAAGGAGACTAGATTTCAGGGGTTATTTTCAGGTTAATAATTTTTAGGAATAAAAATAAGAGGGGCCGGGGAGATGGCTCAGTGGAATAAGTGCTTCCCTGGCAAGTGCAAAGACGTGAGTTCAATCCCCGGTTCTGAAAAAAAAAAAAAAAAAAAAGCCAAGGAATAAAAATAAGTTAAGACACCTCGTATGTTTATCATTTAATTGAAGACTTGGTATTTCTTGTAGGGTTTCTCTACTGGCTAAGAGGCATCTTGATTTTTGTGAAAAATACTTTTCTTTTTTTGCTTTTCTTTGATGTTTGAAGGCTGTTCTCCGAAGATATAGACTATTAGGTTAGTTTTTTCTTTTAAGCACAGTGCCATTTTATTGTCTTTTTTCATGTATTTTTGTTCATGTCAGTTATGTTTAAGTCTGTAATTTTATTTATTTATTTATTTGGCAGAACCAGGGATTGAACTCAGGCCCTTGAGCTTGCCAGGGAAGTGCTTATTCTACTGAGCCATCTCCCCGGCCCCAAGTCTGTAATTTTTAGGTAGTTTCTTAGTTTAATGTTTTAGAAATAATAAAATAAGTATGCCTACTTCTTCTTCTTCTTTTTTTTTTTAAATTAGGGATTGAACTCAGGCCCTTGTGCTTGCCAAGCAAGCACTTATTCTACTGAGCCATCTCCCTGGCCCTATGCCTACTTTTTTTTTCTTTTAAGCAGAGTTCAAATAGTACAGAAGGGTATGGATATAAGCTAAGTTATTTTCCCATCCTGCTTATTGATTCTCATATTTATTTTTATTCCTAAATTGTAATAACTGTTTTCACTAGATCTGGTTTTAGTTATTCTAGGGTTTGTCATCATTCTTTTACTTTTTTAATGTTAAAATGATTTATTCAATCAGTTAAGTTTTTTGTATTACTTTAAATTTGACACAGTAATTATACATATTTTTGGGGTACAATAAGACATTTTAATACCCATATACAGTATGTAACAATCAGATGTAGCTAACTGTTATATCTGACATCTTAGACATTTGCCATTTCTTTGTGTTAGGAATGTTCAAAATACTGGCTATTAGCTGTTTTAGCTATTTTGAAGGATTTAGTTAATTTTTGCCAAGCAGGTTACTGTGCTATATAACATTGGAGGTTATTCCTCCTATTTAATGCTCTCAGTGTACCTGTTAACTATTTTCTTACCATTTATATATATTCATATATATATATATATATATGTGTGTGTGTGTGTGTACACCCACACCCACACATATACACACTGTCCCCCCCCAAAACAGACTCTTGCTACCTAGTCCAGGCTGGCCTTGAACTTGTAACCCTTTTGCCTCAACCTTTCAAGTAGCAGAGACCATAGGTGTGCACCACTACACCTACCTTGATAAACTCTGTAATTTTTTTTTTTGTTGTTGTTTTTGAGACAGGGTTTCACTTTGTACTTCTGGCTGACCTTGAACTTCCTATGCAG